TTTCGCAGCACCGTTGCGTGTAGTGCCTTGCTTTTTGTTGCGCTTTTTCTTTGACTCTTTCCCTATTCGACATGAAGATGTATTCTTTCAATAAATTTTCCGTCAGCGCGACAGTGCTTGGAATGATTTATAGTCCCCGTTGTTCGTCAGGTGACAGCTTTACAAATCCAGGGGAAACGCATGCTAAATAACTCAGCAAGGTTTTCCGTCCTATAAATTCAATCATTTTCCATCAAAAGTGAAAATGCTGAAGAAATGAGTACGGCCCTTGCGGAACTTGTGGCGGTGTTAATGTACAATATTTTCATAAGCCATACGCTATGGTTTTATTCACGAAGAATCCCCTAGGGGACCTTCAACAACGCGCAAGCAAGACCCGCCGGGTCCGGTCGCAACCTTACGCCTGACAGGTATCATGACCTTATTTTCAATAAACTTGGTGGCTCCAATCACCGCTCTCTTCGGTGAAGGCTGTCTGCAAGGAAGAGTGAGTGTATGAGATAAAGTGGACAGACCGCATGACTTTGACCTTATACTTGCATTAGGCCTACATTCCATGCCAATGCTGGGCATTGCTTCAGCGTCAGAAGTGCAAGATACTTCTAGATCTATCTGTGTTTTGCCGCCTGGCCTCATCAAAAACGGAGGCCGGGACTAGTGTGCCTAAACTGACGGCGTTTTGCTCTGCTTGCTTGCTTCTCCAACGCGCATCCTAGGCCTCACCTCAAACTGCACACGCCGACAGTATGGTTGTTCTCCATGGTTCCCGTAGGCTTGGATTGAAGTAGATTCCCCCGTTTCCAGTTGTTATCACTGGTTTTCCCGGGAACATGCTCGTATCACAAGTTATATGATAACTCTTCTTCGCACAAGACCTTGAACTGTGGGCTTTTTAGGACACTGTGGTCCACAGTTAGGGACGTGTTCACAGCGCAATGCTTTTAGCCATGCATGGCTTGATACCTGCCTCGGGATGTGTTTATATACAGGGCACCATCAGGTTAAGGTAACTGCAAATATACAAACCCATTTGTCCAACCTCCGGGCAAGACTTTCAAACCCATCACATTGTATAGGAGGGTGAACTACGTCGGATGAGCGCGATGCCCGATGGAAAAACAAAATCTGAGTACAATTGATCATAGTTATTCTATGTTGTTTCCACAAGGAATTGGGTTCATTGGAAAAACCATCTTTCTCGTACTGGACATAGGACTCCCTGACTGTGTCTCTCGCTCCGGTTAGTCCCTCTGGGTATTGAAAAAAAACAGTCACCGTTGAGCCCTGTGTCGAAGCGCTTGGTGATCGCTTACTGTAGCCCGAAGGAATGCTGAATGCATTCAGGGCATCGATCTGGACGCAAGCATATTCAACGAGATTTTTATAATCCCCTGGTTCTTAGGCTCATTTAGTGTGATATTGCAAAAAAACGCAATGTAACGTGAGGCTTAGCATTTTATCGTTTTATGCGTCAGCACCCGAAAATGTCAGGGTTCTGTGTACCTTGCCTCGTTGGTGTGGATATGTATGGGAAAGCCACAAGGATTCCGCCAGTCTCTGTACCATCAAGTCCACTCATTATGGAGCACAAATACCCACAAAATCATACATTGGTTTGGGATTCCTGGTGCTTAATGGGGCCCCGGGGATGGTACTTCTTCCAACTGAAGCAGGTGAGCTGTCGTCGACGTTGCAAGCCAACCTGAACAAACATAAGTCTGCCATAAAATAATTATTGCGTTCGCTTTTGGGAAGTATTCAGATTCGAGGCCCGTTGGCGGAACCCGGTCTTTAGGAGCATTCTGATTACGTTCCGTGCAAAACGGCAAAAACTGGTGACCCAGTCCACTTTGACAGTCAGTTGAAGATGTAGCGGACTAGGACCCTATCAGCATTTTCGGATAAATTAAACAGCAAAGCGACCAATACAAAATAACAAAATCACAATAGGAAAAGCGTGAGTAGTCAAATGAGAGCTCACGAATGTGTAGATCCAATAGTCCACTACACCGATCCAAATGCAGTAACCGGCTGTAAAAGGAAATATTCACTCGTGGAAATTTCCCACGGATGGTTCCGCGTGAGTGATATATTCCACGATAGGAAAATTATTCACGGCTAAAAAATGTCACGAGGATTTATTGTGACACTCAACAGTTGACACAAACACAGAGATCTATTCCCACTGGTTCGTCCGTCAACAAACAGTTCAACGGAGCGTAAATACACTCGCTCAACAAGAAGTCAGCAGGTCGCGTCGGAAAATTGTGTATTCGTAACATTAAAACAAACGTCATTCTACAATGTGCACGACAGGTACAAAGTTCAGGAAGAATCGTAAATGTGACAACGGATTACAGACACCACACACGTTTGTTGGCTAGTATTCCGTCCTATCGTTGCTGCCCAGTTGTTTTCACGAGATTTCTCCAAGAAACCAGATATATAGAAGCTATTAAAATGCGTTAGGACAATGCTCAAACAAATCAACAAACAAAGGCCAGAAACCAGCGTTCTGATAAAAGAAACAGCAGTCCATTTTAAACCTTCGCTTTCAATGAGTTAGGCGGGTGTAGTTCCCGATTATCTAGGTTCAGTATGTGTCCCTGCAAAATGATGCGTTCCAGACGGCTGCCTTAATTTCACTTTCTTTTTTGTTTCTAGTCTTGCAGTATTTACCTGAAATAGAAGTCTCGTGAGGCAACACACCAAGAAATCGTCGGGAAACGTGCGGCAATATATCGATGGACAGAGCACTGGTTTATGACTAGTTTCCCAGAAGACTTTTGTAAAGCCAGTACGCACGAAGGCTTTCAAACCCCCTACTCATGAGGTTGCTGAAAACGCTTCGACAGCACAAAACCGGCTTCATCCCTCTTGAAACTTATGAGGTAGGCACAGTCCTCGAGATAATGTCATCATTATTTTCCACCAGAACCCATATTGCACGAAATTACTGAAATACACTTATGTTCTTACCATTTACGTTTCGATGGAAGACCCACCTGGAACAATGCTGAATCACTCGTTTATGATGGAGGGAAAACCCGGCTGTGGGTTGCTGGGTGGTGTGGTGAACATTGACTCTATTCTATTCATTCTGTTTAGTGTATTTTTATATGCCTTTGTTTTACGATGCGATTGATTGTACGCCCGCGATATTCGAGAATGTACGATATTCATTCGTCCATATTCGGACTTCTATACTACGCGTACATTCGGTAGTTAAGATACCTACCACTATTCTA